GAGGGTGCCAGGATGGTTCGGGAGCTGTTTGAGATGGCACGTAGTAAGAAGGCATGCATCATCTTTTTCGATGATTGCCATCGCACTGTAGCAAACCGAACAGACGCCACCTTTATCCGTGTCATTGGCTCTGAGCTTGCCCGGAAATATGTAGGAGAGGGTGCCAGGATGGTTCGGGAGCTGTTTGAGATGGCACGTAGTAAGAAGGCATGCATCATCTTTTTCGATGAAGTTGATGCTATTGAGCACATGGTGCAGGACATGACCCCCAAGGATGTCCGGTCAGCAGATGGGTCAAACACCCGAGGATGCCGGCGGCTGCAAGGAGCAGATAGAGAAGCTGCATGAAATGGTGGAGACGCCACTTCTCTCTCCGGAACGTTTTGTGAAGCTGGTTATCGACCCTCTAAAAGGCGTCTTGCTTTTCGGACCGCTTATAGGCCACATGTAGGGGCCGTCGGCCGCCTACCCCATTTTCTGCCGGCATTCACGTCCTGGAGTAGGACTCAAAAGAGGCACTGGTGTCCAACAGTGAGCAAGTAGCATTGATGAGGCTGGATGGGCCGGGCGGATGGCCTAGATCGCCCATCTCAGCTCCAAATACCACTACAACCATGATGTAAGGAAGGGAAAGCCCGATGTTACCTACTCTGACGCCAGAGGGTGGATACGCCGGATGAATAACCCACAGAAGATAGGGGCTTGAGGTGACAAGTCAATGGTGAAATCAAACATGAGCAGATGAGCCGGCTACCGGTATCAAACCCAACCCCAGTATATGCCTGCCCTTGACTTGTGGTCCCGTGGCCGGCAACATAACTCAGTCATCACTACTACTTATTCTATGGGTACCGGCCAGAGTATCCAAGAACACCGGCAGCACCTCAAGATCAAGATTCTGCCCCTATCTCATGTACGCTAGTATTGATACCGAGATATCACGTGATGAGACTGTAACCATGGCAATGTCTTGTATGTATGTTTTTTTCCCGCTCATATTTTGTTCTCTCTTTTGCAGCCCACCAAAGCAACACAGACATGTCGCCTCCTCCAGATGTGCAACAGGACTCAACAGTTCGGAAGGAGCACTTGCCGACTATTGCAAGGGCATTGGACAGGTGGCTGGACGCAGACACAGAGGGTAAGAATCTGGTGGTGGGAGAACTTGTGGAAGAGCTTCTTGGTGGCATTGATGCCGATCAGGCAGGGCGTGGGCAGCTGGCCAAGGTTTGTCTTATTGTTTGGTTTCATCCTGTTTGCGGTAATGGTCCCCAATAGGCTATTTCGACAATACTGGGGACCATGGGATATCCTAGCAAGAAAAAGGGCATCTGGAATCAACACAATGTCTTCCAGGAGCTCAAGGAGGCCGACATCGTTGCAAAGCGGCCATTGGCATGGGAGAAACATCACCCAGGGGCACCATTACCCGAGAAGTGGAATGACCTGGCAGTGCACTCCACTGCCCGGAGCCTCGCATACGCCGACCTTTCCGACGAGGATGCGGGAGCTATGATGGCCATAGCGGATTTGTGGAATAACTCCACACTTCCTCCTGACATTGCCGAAATGTGAGTGCAAGTATTGAGTTTTTTTGTCCATGCTCATTGTCGGCCAGCGGTTACTTCAAAAATGTCGGCCCATACACGAGTGATTATCTCATCAAGTTACAGCGGCACCTCCGGACGTATGCCTTCGTCATGTGGGTGCACACAAACACCGACGGAAAGACATGGAACATTGGAAGGTAAGTTCTTCATATCGCCCAGCCAAATGTTGCTGACACCGAACAGCTCTGATGATCTGGTGGTGAACCATAACCAGCCCACTTTCCTCGACTACATAGGGGAAGAAAATGCGACGATGTTGTGGAAGTGGTGGGATGGCTACATCCAGAAACATCATGGTGAGTAGTTTCCAATTTCAGTCGGCCAGATGGTGTTTACAGTGTGCAGAGCATCCATCTGACGCCGACAAGAGTAACCAGGAAGGTGTGACTAGTGATGGTGTGGCTGGAAAAGGGAAGAGGAAGAAAGAGAAGGTCGAGTTCACTTTTGAGAGGTACGAGGACGGTTACCCCATTCTCCCCAACCCCTCCGGCATCAAAGTTGTCCGAGAACGTCAAACTTTGTGCCGCGAGTGGTTGAGGGCTGTCCTTTTGCACAATATGGATTTTATCCTGCCATGGGTGACAGTCCCCTGGGGAACTACGTCGGACAAATTCTCTCAGTCGTTCACATCGGAATCAATCTTCCCTCCAGGGACTTGTCGGCTAAATGACCCGTCCAAGATAGGAGACACAGAGGTCGATAGTCTGCTCGACCTGTGGTACAGCAAACAACAGACCAAGGAATGCTACAGGCCGGTCAATTTCTCCACAGAGCTGGTTGAAGAAAAACTCGGTAGCAAAGGCCGACAGAAAAGGGACAAGAAACGAGCACTGGCCTCCATTGCGCCTGGGACTGTGCAAGTTGCTACTGCCAATCCGGCAAAGACCAAGAACCCACGATATGTTGCACTGAAGAAGAAGAAACAGGAGAAGATCAAGGCTAGAAAGCAGCGGCAAGAGACCACCGAACTCGATGCTCACACAGAGGACGGTATTGCAAGCCAAGCTAGTGATGTCGACATGCCAGCAGCCATACCCACACGACCACGGGCCGATGCACTTCGGAAACAGAAACTCACCGCGGCCCTGGCCCAGAAGAGTCCTTCTTTGCCTCAAGCCGACACATCTGAGGATGCCGACGGAGTTGGGGACATCTCCCAATTTGACTGGATGGAAGATCATCACCATGTATGCCAGTTCCTTGCCATATGTTTCATTGCTAACTGGTTCCCAGGCTGACAATGGATTACCAACTCCACCAAATACCACAGACCAGGAGGAAGAGACCGATGACGAGAGCTTGGTACGTGAACACTGATGTGTGGCCGACACTCAGGCTGATGTCAGCAGTCGGGTATTCTGCCAGCACGACCGACCAAGCGTCGTCGGATTGGGTCTCCCGACACCGACAGTGGGGACGAAGAGGTCGAGGCACTATTGACAAGTAACGAGTCCGAAGTTAGCCACGACGAGGATACCGATGTCGAGGCCGACGATATCAACTTCGATGACATCGACTTTGAGATGATGTCCAGGCCGTCAACTCGGCCTTCGGGATGTGCGCCAACATCCAACTGGGCCCCCAGCCAAATCAAGCCGACACAGAACCAACCAAGAATATTCACCCCACCGGCACAGAGGCCAGTAAGTGCCAGTCGCACAGTGCCACTGGCCAAGCCAGGAAAGAAACAGGTGTGCAGACCGGTATCTTGTGGTATCAACTTTTGCTGAGATAGTATAGCCCCCATCAATGATAGGTCCACAACGTGTGGCCAATAAACCTGGTCATGTAGTCGTGGTCGAGGCAGCGCCAAACCCCGAGGAGGCACAAAGCAACACTGGACCACCTGTTTCAACAGGCCCAAGGAAAAGTAACCGGACTCAAACACTCAGCATGCGAGGAGCAATTTCAAAAAAGATCATTGAGCAACAAGCCGGAGACATGGTATTTTGAATGCATACGTAGTTGAATACGTACTCGAGTAGAATAACATAGACAAATGATATATTAATACCACATGTTGATGTCGCCGTAAGGCATCATCGCTGTCAGCGTTTCGAAGAGATCACGAAGATCAGCAGGTGCCAACGCCGACATATGGGCTTTGAAGAGAGGAGGAAACATCATAGCCAAGTGTGGCCGGCTTCTCTCCAAGGTGCCGAGCATAACGTCGATCTTCTCGTCGGCAGGGAGGTGATGGGGCACACCCAGCTTGCGTTCGAGGTGGCAGACCATCAAGTTGAGGAGAAACGCCGACGTGGAATCATCATGCTGTGCCATGAGGGCCCCGAGAACTCTGTTGCGGTACTCCGTCGTAGTGAGGCCGGCGGGAGTCATGGTATCGAAAGCCGGTGGCCTCGGCATAACACCGGGAGTGTATGTCCATGTTGGGGCATCCTCGACTGAGGTGGGGGAGAGATGAATGCGGTATCCATGCCCTCCGAATTCCTGGGGAGGATCAAATGAATAGAGCCCAGCCATCAGCTGAGCTCGGGTGGCCGGCGGAGTGGTCCCACGATGAGGGCTGGCATTGCTGCTTTGACCGGCTTGATTGGTGTCGGTAGGTTGGCCGGACGGTGCCTCACTCCCAGCACCACCCATGGTGGTGACAACATCATCATCAACTGCAATTATTAGCAATGAACCGACTGAAGGCGGAATGGTCTTACATCCTGAGAAATCCATATCTTCGTCGTCAGCGGTGTCGGTGACACCGACAGTGGGGTCAACAACAGATGTGGGCTCTTTCCCTGGATATAAAGTTAGCATGTTTAGATTCCAGCCAGTACAGCTTACCAGGACCATCAGTGTCGGCCTCTGCCACTGTGTCGACGGCCGGCAATGGCAAGTCATCTATGTCTGATACAGGATTAGTTGGGGGTTGATTCCGACATGGAGACAACTGACCGTCAAAGTTCAGGTCGTCGTCATCCTGGGCGACCGGGGCGACCGGAGCGATCGTCATGTCAGTGGGGTCTGGCGCACTCTCAGCCCATCGTGGATTGCATCATAGAAAAGTCACTGACCGTCAAACTGTAGATCGTCGTCGTCGTCGGCGACGGCGTCCACCGCCTCTGTACTTGCCGGTGCTGGTGTAGCCGGCATTACAACCATTGAGTTTCGATGTAGTAACAAACCGGGCATTCTCGCTCACCGGATGGCACAGTGGGTTTCGCGGCCGGTCCTGAGTCCACAGCAGACGCCGACTGTGTCTCGCGAGCTTGTTCTTTAACACGGTTTTTGAACCCTGTGGAGAGTCAATACAAGGTGATATGCGGTACCAAGAACTCACCTTGTGTCTGCCGGCCACTAGTGGCGGGTGGGGTGGCTTTTGGTGGCATCACGACTACAGATGGGGTGGGAGGGATGGGGTGGACGTAAAGAGCAAGCGAACTTGGAATAAAAAGCAACAAGCCTGCAACCCTGTGACTGGGGCCGGTGGTGAAATTTTCTTGATGATCACATGCCTTATCTGGGTGTCCGACCAAAAATATCGGTCAATTGTGACGTGCCTGGAACTTCGTGGAGCTTTGTAAACAAGGGTAAACACCATGCCACCGAGGAATTTCACTGCCTACACGTTCATCCTCCTCGCCTTGCGTTCCCTTCAACCTCTATTCCACAGATGGCTAACACTACTTTCAACCTGCCCGACGTCATTCCGGAGGCGTTGAGAACGAGGGACATGGCCGACTGGAACGATGCTCAGAACGTCCTGAACTGGCTGGACAATTACTGGGGCGACGCAATCCGATACCGTGGACGAATCGAGCTGGCGGCGCGGGGAAAGTTTGAGGAAAAATTACGTCAAGAACTGGTGAGTCCCTTAGCCAGTAGCCGGGTGTCGGCCTGTCATATTTTGCAGAGAGAGTCCTCGAAGTTCTTGAACGAGATGAACGGCCGTCGAAAGAGGGACCCCACCTACGGGGTTGTTTTCCCTCTGAACGTCTCGGTGGTGATGACTACGAGGGGCCATCTGCAAATAGGGGATGTGGCCGGCGTGATAAAGGTCAAATCTGACGCACGGGTGCAACCGGCGCCGGCAGTCGCCTTCGACAAGCCATGGTGGCATGATCCCCCATACATGCCGGTAAGTCTTTCTCTGCTCTTCATATGTATCTGACCCATTCGGATGTAGGCGACTGCCCCACCTGAAGACGTCGACATGGATGGTCCTGCCGGTAAGTCTCTCCCCGATGCTGTCGGTGTCGGCCAGCCACTCATATACACGGCCACTCCCATCCCGATCCCTCCTCCTGCCACTGTGTCGACGACAAGCCGAGCAACCGGCGCCTGAGAAATCCACCTTGGATGCAGCCCACCAACTCTCCGGCACCACAGATGCCACCAAGACCCCTGTGGCTGCCGAGGGTCGGCCCCCGACTGGCAAAGTGAGTCTTCTAGTTAGCCGACACACTACCTCTTACCGGCTCATAGCACACTCCTACACTCGCCGACGCTATCAATCAGGCACGCGACGACACGCCGGCTGAACCTGCCCCGCCCAAGCCGAGCACTCGTTCGAAGGGCAAAGGCAAAGATCAGCAGTCTGGTCAGGAGACGGTATGTGTGGCCCGCTCTTCAATACTTTGTATTCACGTATATTGTAGTCTGTCAACGAAGACATGCCCGAGAAAGACCCTCGGCAGAAGGTATGTTCCGTCGGCTTCTATAACATGTGGCTCACCAAATGTTCAGGTGAAGCGCAAGACCAAGGACAGTGTCGCCGGCAGTGGTGACGAGCAGCCGACGACAAAGCGGAAGTCAAAGAAAGCAAAGACTGCCGGGGCCACCGTGGAGCAGATGATCGCACAGACCCTCGATCACTCCAATGTAAGTATTCTTTCCTGATATTGTGACCAAGTGCTCATGCTCATGATCGATAGGCTGAGGCCGGTGCGTCGGCCACATCCACCCATCCCAAGGGGCCGTTAGCTGACAGACGGGTGCTCCCACGTGCCCGTTGGCCCACAGAGGCGGTGTTGAGCAAGTCCGTCATTCAACGGGCCAATGTCCCTCCTGAGGAGGAAGATGCGAATCTTTCGGTCGAGGACGTCCAGCGCCGGAACCTTCAGGTCACCCGAGGCCTCATGGAGGCCCTCAAGCATGTCGGCTACGCCGAGCATGCGACCCTGATCCGCCTGAAGGGGATCGAGGAAGCCATCCGGCATTTGGCCCAAGATCAAGCAAGTCTTCGTTCCGACCTCGCCTCCGGCCAGCTGAAGCAAAGCAAGATCTGGATCGCGCCCGGCGAACGCGGGATGGGTAAGCTGTTTAAGATGAAGTTCGGCCTTTCTAATCCTTATCATCAACCACCATCGGGTTCAGCAGCAGATTCCTCCAAGCAGCCGGAAGCCGGTGGCAGTCGTGGACCTGCCTTTGGTGATCTCGATGCCGACAATGCGTCTGAGGCGGCCGGGGACGAGTAGTCTTGTTTTTTTTTTCATCGTTACTATATCTGTATATCGTCATCTACAAGCAAATGAAAACGATTTATCTTTGTTCGGTCAAATGATCTGTTCTGTCACAGCCAGACCAAGATACAGCAGGGCAACATGCATCTGGCCTACTGATACAGCATGTTCAATTTGTACCTATGCCACATTGACTTCTGCCACAGCAGGACCATGACACAGCCGGCCATGCATCCATCCGGCCTATTTGCAGAGCATGTTCAATCTGTATATCTACCCAGATATCTGATGATGTTGCTTCTGCCACAGCAGGACCACGACACAGTCGGCCATGCATCCATCCGGCCTGTTGGCCCAACATGTTTAATCTGTATATCTTCCCCTGTTTAAACCCGCTGTGCCATTAGGCCGGATGGATGCATGGCCGACTGTGTCATGGTCCTGCTGTGGCAGAGGGCACATTGTCAGATATCTGTGGTAGATATACAGATTAAACATGCTATGCCAACAGGCCGGATGGATGCATGGCCGACTGTGTCGTGGTCCTGCTGTGGCAGAAGCAACATCATCGGAGTTCTATGGTAGATTAAACATGCTGTGCCTTCTGCCACAACAGGACCACGACACAGTCGGCCATGCATCCATCCGGCCTGTTGGCATAGCATGTTTAATCTGTATATCTACGACAGATATCTGACAATGTGCCCTCTGCCACAGCAGGACCATGACACAGTCGGCCATGCATCCATCCGGCCTGTTGGCATAGCATGTTTAATCTGTATATCTACCACAGATATCTGACATTGTGCCTTCTGCCACAGCAAGACCACGACACAGTCGGCCATGCGTCCATCCGGCCTAATGGCACAGTGGGTTTAAGCCGGGGAAGATAGCAGCCTTGAGTATCTTCACCCCACCATAAGGTTCCTTGAGAAGATGCATGCTCCTTCTGCCCTTACATATTGAGGATATCAAGATGGAATTTACATAAGCTAGATAAAGGGTGCTAGCAGAGCGACACCGACACCGACAACACCGACACCGACGACACCGACACCGACACCACTAGCACACCGACATTGTTGTCAGATCATGTTATTCTCCTTACCCCATAGCTGACCACACGCCGTCGCTAGCAGCTTACAAACGGCCAAGCAGGCATACTGTCCAGCAAGGTGGTGCGACAAGCCCAACAGGCCCAGTGTGGGTAGAAACATTACCCACGCCGACAGCCCAGATGGGGA